AGAGAGAGAGAGAGAGAGAGAGAGAGAGAGAGAGAGAGAGAGAGAGAGAGAGAGAGAGAGATTTTAGATTCTTAGCAGATATATATATATTTTTAAAATGAAAAGAAAAAAAAAGAAAAGAAAAATAACAAAATATGTTGACAGTGCCAGCACTGACAGGTTCTGATTTCCTCCCAAACGTACGCACACACACACAAAAAATCAGACACATATAGAAATGTACTTTTCTTAATTGTTTCAGATATTGTTACAAAAAGCAAAAGCATAACTGAAGTTACAGTTAATGTAAAAAAATATGTTACAAATATAACTTTTTTTTTCAAATTTAATCTCAATTAAAATTTTAAAAAGTCCTAATGTCTCCTGTTAAGGAAACTAAAAAAAAAAATCAGTCATAACCTTTAACACCTCATTCTGTAAAACAAAAATCAAAATGGCAGTGAACAATTAAAAAAAATCAAGTGCAATAAATGGAACACCTCCTGTTAGACTTCCACAGTGACCAGAAAAGACACCCGGATTACTGAGGACCTCTCACATCCACAACACAACATTTTTCTACACACTCCCAACAAACCAGCTCCACAAAGCCGGAAGAATAGAACATATCATTTGTACCGTATGCATTAATGTTCTTAAACATATTCAACTTAATGTTTTTATTATAAAGTCATTAAACTGTTTTGACACTATATTTGATTGAATGAGGAATGGACAAGAGCATGTCAAAGAAAGAAAGAAAGAAAGAAAGAAAGAAAGAAAGAAAGAAAGAAAGAAAGAAAGAAAGAAAGAAAGAAAGAAAGAAAGAAAGAAATTCAGCCACAGTTGTAGCAAACAATAAAGTTCCTTTTATCTTAAAAAGAAAAAGAAGAAGAATGTTTGTGATCACTTCTTCTCTAAACACCAGTTACCTGTTTTGTTTCCACAAATATCCATCTGTAGTGTAACTTATATTCTACCAACTGGTTTGATCCAAACCAAACCTCTTATAGAACCATAGATAGGCTCTCTTGGGTCCTTGTCACAACTTAATAAAGCAGGTAAAAAAAAAAAAAACATCCTAAACACAAACAAAACCACACAGTTAACAAAAACACAGTAAAATACATTCATTTTGTTAAACAATCATCACCCTTTGTTCAAAATCAAATAAGATTAAAAATAAATGATCAGCACTAAAAAGTGTTTTTACAGTGACATCAGCCTTTTCACCCAGCACAGCTTGTTTGAGCTTTGCATGATAATGCTCTTTATAGTAAACAGGGAACATGGTAAAACGGTCAGTAAATTTTTCACCATAAATCTGTTGAAGATCGTCCACCTGTTCAGAACAGCAGCAACCTGAATCACAGGACCTTGTGTTTTTAACAGTCCCAACTTAACAACCTTAGTTGAAGGTTTAGGTCCAATAGGCTTGGTGCTGTGTGAGGACACTAATCTGCAGGTGCAGAGGTGACAGCAGACAGGACAGCTCCGGTGTCCTTCAGTTCTGGACAGTCCAGACTTCAATGTCTTGTACAATGAAGTCTTCATGTGTGGACAGAGGTGCGTTGTGAAAAGTAGGGCAGGAGAAACTTGCTCCATGGTACAAATCAGCATCCAGCCACAGGCCAAAGCCACCCCTAAAAACATAAGGATTTTTTTAAACAAAAATGTTTTAACTTTGTAGATGGTTCTTTTAAATATTATGTGTCACACTGCTTTTCTGGGGCGCCATCCATCTAGGGGAGCACCACAAATAGGGGATAAAAAACACATTTTATAACCTTTTCATCAGATTTGGTTTGGTTTGGTTTAGTTTGAAAAATATTCACTGGTTACTTAAGTTTTTGGTTTTCATTCTTTATAAAATACTGATTTTATGTTTTATTAATCCCAAGAACTTAGAAAAATGCTCTTCAGATGGTTGGAAAATGCATAGATTTCAGTTCATTTCCAAGTAAAAAGGCTTTAAGGCAAAAGTGGATTGTAAATCTAGGAAAGTATATCTCAGACCCCTACTAGAACTGGTTCTAATCTAATTTCCCTCTGTGATCAATAAAGTATTATTTTGTTTTATTTTGTTTTGTTTTAGTCTATTTTATTTTATTTTATTTGGTTCTACAGCTGCTTGTTAACATGAACAAGTGTTCCTCATTGCTGTCAACAAATGTTAAGAGGTCTGGTATCCTGTTTCAAATTAATTAGGTCAACCTGGTTTCTAAAGGTAAAATCTAACATCAAAGACAAAACTATTTAATTTGGTATGTGAATGTCTGTAAATTATCAGTGAGATTTAGGAAATTACTAGGGCTGTCAAATGATTAACATTTTTAATCTATTAATTCAAAGGTAGCTGTAAATCAATCACAATTAATCCAACATTTCTAACAAATTACTTGAGTTATTAATTTGTTTTTAATGTTTTTATTTAGAAAACAAAATTGATGCTTAGACATGATTTTTTTAAACTTAAAACAGGACCTAAAAATGCTCCAAACATATTTGAGTCGGTTAAATTTTGTGCAGAATAATGAGGTTAAATCAATAATTCAAGGATTTTCATTCTAAATGAATACTACATGAGGAATGAAAGATCGATACTAAGGTCACAGTTGTCAGCAAAACATAAATAAATAAAATAAAATATAATAAGCCATAAGAAGACAAAAAGAAAAACACTATACTTAATACAGCCCAGTAGGCTACAATACAATAACTGTGCTTAAACTACACAGGTAGTTTTTTATTTATTTTATTTATTTAACCTTTATTTATCCAGGTAAACTGTTTGAGAACCACTTCTCTACAAACATGACCTGGAATGCACTGAGCGCATTGCAATATACAAACCTACATACTCAGCGATAAATCGCGATTAAAATTTTTAATCTATGACCATGCAGCACTAAAATTAATCAGAGTTAACTCGATTAATTTTACAGCCCTAGAAATTACACAAGGGGCTCCACGTGAAATCTTGTCTTCCATATTGGCCATGGCCGGCCCTATAAACACGTGTATGTTTGACTGAAGAAATCAGTCGGATCATAACTCACCCTCCTCCACCAATGTGCAGAGATTCCCAGTTGCCACTCATAAAGTAGGAGTTCTCACCACTCCAGGTGTATTTCTACAGAAAGTTCAAATATAAAACATTAACGACTACACGCTCACCGGAGCTGTGCAAGTGCACAAAATATACAAAATTTTTATACAGAAACAAAAAGAAAAATGCTTTTTAAAAGAGTTGTTTTTATTCAAATGTGATTCATTTCTCAGAGTTTCTGTAGCCACAGTGTATTGAATGTAATTTCAGTCTTACCTGGAAGTCAGGGTTGAAGCTGAACAGGAAGGTCTCTCCGGTGCCGTAGAAATAGTTACTGACTCTGAAGGGATCAGAAGAAAAAGCCCCGAACACCTGAACAACAGACACAGGTAAGTTAGTTAAGGTTTTGATTTGACAAACCTTTTATACTAATAAAATCTTGGAAACGTAACAATGAAATGCAAACCTTATTGTGCATGTCCTTGATGACCAGCAGCACGGGGCTCTGCAGATCAGCCATATTTCTATAAAGCGTCTTCAGGCTGCTTCCATGGACGGCTGTGCTGTAAACCAGATTCCACTGGTAGCCCTGAGTCCGTGCAGGCATGTGAGCAGCAAGCTGTGGACAAACAAGTTGTTGATGGAACGTTGTCCACTCCACACACACACCTAAGGTAGATGTGAGATGCTGTTAAAAACTGACCTTTTGTAGATGGTGGTCATGCAGAAGGCTGCTGGGATCACTCAGAACAGGGAGTGCATTTTCATATTCTTGTTGCTCGTTCTCCTCGGATTCCACTGAGCTGCAGAGGCTCCGGCGGCGGCCGGGCGGCCTCACTGTGAGGATCTGCGTTAGGGTAGCAAACAGGTAAGAGAACAAGTTCAGCATTCTTTGTGGTATGGACATTTTCCTGGATGTCCCAGCCCATTACTTCTACATGAAACCAGTTTCCACATCACAGGTTCAAGGATCTTTGTGGGTTAATAATCTCAAGTTGAATTACAAGTCAGGATACATTTCTGATTACAACAAACATTAATTTAGACGTTTTCTCTAAACTCAGCAGATAAACTCAACTTACCTCAACATAAGGTTCCTCACAGTGTTTGGCAAAATAAAACACTCTTATATGTATCTGTTTGCTCTTCATGGCTCCTGATTTCTCTGTCAGGTTCTGCACTCTGCTCACCCACATGCCTGCTCTCTAAGAGTGCCATCCTCTTCTTATATATTTTCACTTTCACTGGGTGGAAACCCGAGCACATGGCTGCTCATTGGTTAACTTTACAGTTTCCTGTTTCTCTTGAAAGGAAAGTTAAGCTTTGTTCGGGGATGCAGAGGCCGTTGAAAAAGGAAGTCCATAAAAGGAGAGTGGGATTTACCAGAACAGAATGTTTACATGTATTTATGTATATATATATTTTACCGTAAGAACATGTTTACACAGAGAGAAATATTGTGCTGAACTCAAACAGCCATGCAGCAGTCTGTTTTATTATGTAGTCATAAACTGCAAACGTTTAGCGCTTACCTTTCTAATGATGTTGAGAGGTTTGCTGAAGATCTTGTTTACTGCACTCATGACCTTGTCGGCTACCAGGTGTCTGTTAGGATCTTTCTCTTTGTTTTCATAACCTGACTCGTGACGCTTCTTCTTTCCTTTTGTGTAAATATCTGGTGACCATTCCACAAAGAAGACGTAAATGTGACGAATCCTGCAAAATAAGCAAAGATATTAATGTTAGATTAACACATGTACTTCGATAGTTATTTAATTTGTGTCCTGGCAGGATATAAAAGGATAAAAACCTTAAAAAAACACACTAAAGGTGGATTGACATCATGGCTCTGCACTTAATCATAAATTCACAAAATGTGGAGAAATAACAGGTAGAGTGCATTGATTAAAATTTATGCAACAATTACATTTTGTTAAAATGTAATGAATAAATAAAATATTTATAGGTCATTTAAACTAAACATCTAAAATGTAATCCATAAGAATATTTTGAAGCCTGTTTTTGTAGCTACAAAAAATACTATTTTGAGCAGATTTAAAAAAAACATTTTCCCTGCAAGCAAAGTTTTTTATTTCATTATTATTATTATTATTATTATTATTTTTGTTAAAATGTAATGAATAAATAAAATATTTATAGGTCATTTAAACTAAACATCTAAAATGTAATCCATAAGAATATTTTGAAGCCTGTTTT